GGCATCTATAGCACAGTACGGTACGGAGGCGCCATATCGGGAGCAGTCCGCCGAGGCACTTGATGACAATGACAACGACGAGGACGATGACAATGATGAAGAGGAAGCAGCGGAGCAGGGCGAGGAAGAGGTGGCGACGATTTTGCAGACGCTTTCGCACGCCGTCGAGGTGGAGAACGGAAAAGGCCATGGGTTGGCGGCGCCGGCTACAGGACTGAACGTTTCACACAACTTCAGATGCTTCGAAGACTGCAGTAGATGTGCGTTGTTGACCACCGCCGCGGTCGTCGAATCCACCACGACAGGCACAGCCGGATAGACACTGCAGAGTGTCGAACAAGGCACCGTATCACTGAAGTCTTTATACAGGAAGTCGGTGGCGGCGGCAGATTTGGCGGCAACAGAAGGGTCCATGACGACGCTGGAGTGCGGCGGGAGCGGCAGGCCGAAGTGGTGAGGAGGTGGTGGTCCGGGAGGAGAGAACTCATCCTCGGTTGCCGCCACGAAACGCCCATCGCCACCGGGTCCATTGCCATCGGGCACTTTCGGGGGGAAGAACTTTCCGCGGGCCCCGTTGCTCATGATAAAGAACGGAGATGGGCTGCTACTGTTGTTATTATTCAACGTGCCCGTATTTTTCCTGCTCTTCCCACCGCCATCGACACCACAACCAATAAGCGACAGCGACGACGAGGACGAAATGGTGCACGGGGCGGTCGACGACTGATCACTACCACCGCCCGAATCGTCGAAGAAACAGCCGTTAAGCATCTGCGGGGGCGGAGGTAACACCTCGGACCGGGCCCTCTTTCGGCCGATGGCCGAAGCAGTAGCAGAGTAACGTCCATGGTGACCATCGGCGACCGACGATGACCTGGATGACGGTGACGGATGCTGCGAATGACTAGGGACGAAGCTGCGCGAGTTACTGCACTTCTTTTTGGCGCAGATGGCGCCCGGTATGAAATGACCGTTGAAGAAGCGTTTGTCCATACAGATGAGGCACGAGCCGCAATCGGGGGACAGACAGTCGTTGCACTTGCCACAGCCACACCGCAGGCGATTGCTGAGCATCTCGCGCTGCAGCTTCACCTCCAATACCTTCAAACACCGACGCGTGACGCACGACTGTTTCTTGACGCCCGGACCACCGAACTGAGGGTTGTCCTTACAATACACACACTTGCCGCACGGCTTCGCCAAGCACCCCTCGCAAACGCCGCATCGCTGGGTGCGAGTCAAATTCATCGCCTTCGTCTTCCGCGTTTGATTCTTCTTCTGCTTCGCTGCTGCTTCTTCTACTTCTTAAAAACAACAACATACGAACGAATTACGTTCACAACAACCTGCGAAATACACGCACACCATCGCCACCCCACATTACCACTACACGACGCGACGCGACGCGGTAAACACGTGTTTCGATAGACTATGACCAATCTGTTGCTTTCTTAAGGAAAACAGTTTCATTTTGATATAAAAATTTCCTGTATCAGTTACGGTAAACTTTCTTATATCAACTTGATTTGCCAAATAAAACTTGCGCGGTTTACTGTAGCTTAAGAAACAAAACTGGAAAAAGTTATTATTAAACTACGTAAACAAATAGAAATTGCAGAAATGAATCAAAATTATGATAGAATTTTACAAACAAGAGCTAAATCATATCAAAGATTGATCTGATAGCAACATGTTCAGCATTATTTTTCGTATGTTCGTAAGTACCTGCTTTTTCTGAATTTTTCAGTTTATAATTAATCATTTAGTATTTTCGTGCTGCTATCTTAATGGCAATACATTTTGTCATAAAATTTTGTTTCAAAAATGTTTTAATTTTTAGAAAAATAACACCACTGACATTAGGGATATTTATGCCGAATCTATTTCTGCAGTATATTTTTACGTACTTAAACTATGTCTCATACATGGAAATGCGAAGTACGAACCTTACTTTTCCACACCACAATTCATTCAAACAACGCAGTTTAATCGTCTGACCCAAAATCTGTGTATTCCGCAGGTGAAGTTTATTATAAATTAGCAAAGTTTTAAAATTAAACCTAACAAGATACGTGGGACAATGGGTTCATATATGTTGAACCAGCAGTAGGCAACGAAAACGAGCTTTCTAGCTTCAAAAGTACCAACCGTTGCGACGGCAATATCAGCTTCGTATCTTAAAAAATGCCCATGAGACACGGGCTGAAACGTCGGTACACTTCAGCCATTCGATTAACCAGATTTTTGCATTTGTCTATAAACTGTTCTATGATGTTTATCTGTACTGTCACCAGCGGATCAACGAATATGCGGTATGTTTCACCTGTTGTTATTTGTACAGCTTAAGACATGGTCAGGAATTGCGGAAAAAATTGTCTTGCTCAGAGCATTACGTTATTGCCTACATCATGCATAGCAGTACACCAACTATGGAGTAGGTCAAACTTCGTGTAATAACTCTAATCCCATGGTTACATTCTGCACTTTTCTCTCATGGAGTGCTCGATGGCACTGTAATAGCCTATTTGCATTTAAGCCTCTAATCCAGTTAGCATCATTATGGGATCGCTACTCAAGTTTGATATCAACAGCAGCTAGTTATTCAGTTTCAAATTTTCTTTCTAATTTTAATGTCGGTGGTACGTTCTTTAATCATCAAAGAATATTTCAGTTTAATGACAGTGACAATATTTTTTGAACAGTACTTCCTTAGACATAAAAATTCTTTCTTTCGAAAATAGGCAAAGTTATTATTTTACTGAGCTGAAATTATTCAGTTTTTCTGTGGTAACAACTAAATTTGAATACAAACAAATTTAGAAATTATCAAATATATTATACCTTTGCCATTTCGCTGGCAACCATCCTTATACTAAAATCTAGACAAACTCGTTGCAAAATATATGACTATTTCACATTTGTCTTGGATGTCATTCGGTTAGAAATAAACACAAATGTTTTTAATATTGATGGTTAGGCGGTTAATCAGCGAAGAATCACGCCAGCACGGGGCACATCTGCCATTTCTCGAGGTTTCCAATCTTCTGTGCTCAATGCATTTTTTAGCTTTCCATGCTCCTTGTATACTCTTTACATCATTTTGGTTGGCGATCAAGCGGTCTAGTCCGCTGAGGAGGATAACAGTCGACGATCATCGCCATGTGAGCTGTGTTATATGTTCAGTCCACCGTAGTTTCTTGTTTTTGCTTTCAGCGACGACATATTAGACCTCTGTCTACTGTCAAATCGCCATGTTGGGGATATTTTAGCGAGATGAGATTCGCAACATTATTTTCTTCTTGAATCTCTCAGTAGCAGATAACCTGCGCTCTTCGACTTCCTGAGTTCTCGCAGCCATACAACGTTGCTGGCATAGTGTTAGAGTTGATAGTGGGCAAGTATTTCCTGGTGTCGCCTAGGAGAACATTGATCCTTTGACCCAGGAAAATGTAATTACCAACTTCTTTGATTCTTTCTTTGAATATATATATATTGATATGTCAGAGGTGACAGAAGTGGTGAGCTATTTCTTAAGGACCTTTCATTATGATGAAAATTTTTTATATTGATACATAAAGATGCTGGGTTTCCTTTGGACTTGGTTCGTTTGAAAGAAGTTTCCTGCATGCACAAACTTATTCTGTGCTTGCATATTTAAAACTGTTGCAAGTTGTTCTTCTTTAGGATTAAAGTTTACTAAATGGTGTTGACCCGACCCAAATAGTAACAATAACATGAACAAGAAAAATTCAGAATGCATTAAACCTTCGTCGTAGGTTACATCTCGAGTTGATTATCCGTACTCCATGGCCACCTGTCAAGTGGGTCACAATAAGTGCGACCACAGGAAGCGGTAGTATGGAACAGAATAACCGTACGCCTCATCTCGTTCTGGCACGACCATACTAGAATACCTAGCTATCATGCTGTTCGCAAGTCAACGCTTTGTGCGATTGCACTGAAGCAGCGCGCTTGGTTAAGCAAAAATTGCTTCTTCTCGAAATTCGATCTCGGCACCTTCGGAGTTGGAAGCCAGCATCTACCACTGTGTCACCGTGCAGCAAAAAATTATTAATCTCAAGGTTGCAAAGTTCATGAATGATGAGAAACAAAAATTTCCTGGCAAAGGCTCATTCTTGATTTAATTCATTTACTTCATACTATACTATTAGTTTAAAATTTTACAGTTTCTCTGCCTACCTATCTGATGAAATTGGTTCGGCCACTGAATTCTCATCTGAAATCTGAGAATTGAATATTGCAATGACTGCAAAACGGAGAGCTCATTAGGCGGAATGAAACAATCCCATTCGACTAAACCGCTTCAAACCTTGGAGAAGGGCGTAAAGAATGGTTGCTCGAAGGGAGGCGGAATTTCTCTTCATCCTCATCTGATGAAAAGTGCAATGGATAATTGCCAGCATCAATGATAGCCAACTCTGTCTAGAGGAAGATACATGGCACATGAGCCAAAACGTCAGGGAGAGATTCTCATCGTGACAAAGTTACTGAATTATGCGTTGTGCCTCAAAGGCCATCTGCCCCTTTTTGCCTACGGTTCATTAACCAAACTACAGAAGAAATATCATCATAAAAGTTATAGTAGGCCTTCGTAGCGAAATATTATTTAAAGAATTACAATATAACGCGTCTAATTTTCACGCACACACTCGATACGATTATTTTCGAAATTTGAAACATCACAGCGAAATAATTCATCAAAAACATGGTTCATTAAAATTTATGCATTGGCCTACAAAACCTTCCAATTTTTGGCTGCTCAGTCAAAAAACGGTGATGGCGCTGAAGAATTCACTTTAGTTTAATACACTCTGTGTCACTGAGGTTTCGACTCCATTCGGTGGAAAACTCTTAAATCCGTAGATTCCTTCCCGATATGTGGAATCAGTCGCCTGAAGGGCTTCACGATTGAAACAACTTTAAATCGAACGGCCCATTTATTTTTATGAGATTAAGCCACGTATTGATTTTTGAATTTGTTTAGAATCGTTAGGCAACATAATTTTGTTCGCCATAGTTCATAAACTAGGGACTCGAAATCGTTCATTAACAGGGACGCAGTTGCACTAATAATTTACTATCTCAGAACAACTTTCTATTGAATTATCTTTCCAGGAGAAATAGAATTTCTGGCTCTTTTGGGAAATTTTAGCAGGTTGTTCAAGACTTTATTGTCACTGTGTATTGAACTGAATGTCTAAATGACTCAAAGTACTCTGCCATAACGAGCTGACTTTGTAACAGCTCCCATTTTGCTGATTCGGCAAAGGTGCAAAACCGGCTGCATTTGCTTTTTCAAACATGATGCGATCAAAGTTGCTTTTCATTTGGAGCTATGAATAAATTCCTTTTGTTTTTCTTATATTCATTACAAAAACCTACACATAAGTATATTTAAAATTGA